AGAGGGGTGTGCTTGCTTCATTTGTATCATAAGTTGTGGAGTGTCCAAGGCATCTGTGAACTGATCCCTCAGCAACAACTTGAGGAGATCGGGTGGTGCAGTTGGGTAGGCCTTGTATGCCATGCTTTTCAAGTCCTGTGCCAGCTTTTGCACGGTCTTTCGTCCTAAACCTAGCCCTGTAGACTTCTGACTGATTTTGGGTTCCGTACCCAATTTTTTCTTCATTACCCATTCAAGCCGTCTCCAGCCATTATTATAATCTATATTTTATATTTGTAATTTGTTGCTTACTAGAGGTAGCTGTGGATCTTAAAAATGACGCTGAGATCTAAAAGTTTAACACCTAAAAAGGTCTAAAGGATTTGACGTTAAGTTTTCTGGTAATTTCGAGAGTAAACATGAAATATTTGTGAATATTTTAGAATTGTTTCAAGAGATTAGAGTTGTTTATAGTCCGTACAGCGAACCACTCAATGTCCACCCCCTTTTTTGTCGGGAAGTGGAACAAGTATGTTTATTTTTTATGTTATTGAAATGCAATTAGTGTCATTTATAAATGTAAAGGCAGTTTGTAAAAAATGTTAAAGAACAAATAAACTAACTTGCAATAATTTACGTGGAGTGGACTTTAAATTATTTTCACCAGACAATTTAAACGAATACGCCTACGAAGGAACAACGTTACAACAATATTGTATGGAGATGGGTATACTTTATAGATATATATTCTTTTTTTATTGCCTGTACTTCCTTAATCCTCGTTCATGACTTTGCGAAAAGTTTATATAATGAACATAGATTATGATTACAGTGTTTGTTTAAAACTTGTACAGCCAAGTTAACCAGATATAGCCCATAGATCAGTTCTGCAAATACTTTTATACGATTACATAAAATTCAGTTACATGTTATTGGTTGACTTTTTGTACGTTTTCTATTTGGAATTATATTTTAGGATATTTTGTAAATTAAGATTTGATTTGTATGTTCAAGAATATTTTCATGTCTTTTTTCAGAACTTTATCACCTATAGGTGCTAACGCTCATGATGAAGTGTTTCGGAGTTGTTGTCCTTCTGATAGCAGCAACAGGAGAAGGGTTCTACGGCCTCGTCGTTCAACTCATTGACGGAATGCATATCGAGAACATTATTGGATTGAACAATCTTTACCGACTTTTGCTTTTGTTGCCAATTGTGCTATTCAGTGGTTCACGGATGCTGTACGACAGAAAAACAATGTTAATTTTACTTCTTCGTGGTATTCTCGGCTCCTTAGCTTTGTCTCTGCTGACCTACTCGTACACTCTACTGCCGATAGGAGATGCAGCTTCATTGTACTTCTGTAGCCCTTTGTATACAATGCTTTTCAGTATTTGTCTCCTGAAGCATCGTTGTAAGCCTGCGGACGTCCTCGCTGTTTTGTTGTGTTTGTTGGGAGTCGTATTACTTTACAAACCAGCCTTTCTGTTTACAGACCAAACAAACCATTCAGAAGAGGTTTTAAAATCTAGACTTTTTGGCGCCATGATTGCAACATGTGGTGCTTTGTGTGATGCCTTACTGTTTGTGTGTAGTAACTCTCTGTGTAAAGTACATTACTCTGTAATCTCTTTTTACACAGTTCTGTGTACGGTAGTTCCTTGGACTTTGACACTTGTGGTTAAAGGTATTCCAACAAATTTCTCGAAGTGTTCGAATAACAATTTATACTTGATTTTTTTGGCAGTTTTTGGTGTAGTAATTCTATTGACCTTGAATCGAGGGCTTCAACTAATCAGTCCAGGTCCAGCTAGTATTATTTTTTCTATGGCAATTCCGATAGGTTTCCTTGTTCAAGTCTTCATAAAAGGTAACCCAATAACCCTGATATCTGGAGTTGGTGCTTTGGCGATCTTTACATCAGTATTAATTTCCATTTCTTTTGGCTGTACCTGCTTTTGTGAAGCCCTGGATTCCTCCCTTTTTGTGGAATACATAATGAAACTGAAACATTATATTAGGATATTACCATATTCGTGAGATTGGAAATTTACGTTAATGAATTTTAAATTCGAGACTTAATCAACATTGTTTTCTTTACCACCGTATTTGCAGAAGTTGGGCGTCTTTAATAGGTGTATATTCAGGAAAATCTAAAGTGTTATAATTTGTATTCGAGTTCTGCAATTTAAGACGGATTTGACTTTCTCATTAAGTGAAATATAAACAGAACAGAGTTAAATTTTTCTTCACTCAGTAGTCAAGAAGTTACACTTGAACAATGTTAAGTACTGTTTCGATTAATATTAAGCACATTTTTTAACATTATCAAAGAAGTGGTATTTGAAAACTAATAAATTAATTAACCATTCTTTAAAGTTTTGAACTTAAAGGTGTGTTCGTTTCTAATTTACTTTATATATAATTTTTCTCACTTTTCCAGATGTATTAATAACCATGTTTAACTACTCCCCTGAACGTATGCTGTAGAATTAACCTTCATAATAGGTTAAAAGTACACATTAATCTCTAATATAGTACCTTATCATACACTGACATGCCAACATTGCATTTCAACGCAATATATCCTCATAACGAAGTAGTTATCTTCGTAAAATGATTTGTTAACTTTATATTAAGCTGAATCGTGAAGTTTAACATTGCATCCTCAAGGAGTGAATCCAGTTATCGTATGTAAAAAAAAATCTACCATCTGAGTTAAACTTTTATC